GCGGGCGCCCGGGGGGGTCCAACTAAAGCGCCACCGGAGCCGCGGGAACCCAACGCGGCGGAGCCGGACGGTGGCGGAAAGCCGAACGCGGCGACGGCGGCCCGCAGGGGCCAAGTCAGGCCGGGCGGAACGCGCGCTCGAGAAGGCGCCCCCTGTCGGCTCAGCGGCACGAGCGCGGCAGGCCCCTCCCCACAGGCTCCGCCCCCGGGAGACGATGCCGCCTTCCCGCCCAGGAGCGAGCAGGGGAACGTCCCGGAGCAGAGCGCGACCAGAGCGCCCAGCGGGGGGTCGCACACCCACCAGGGGACACTCCTGTGGCTCCCCTAGCGTCTTTGCACGGCGTTCAAAGCCTCCACCAGCACAAATAGGTCCGGGGCGCAGGACCCTAGCTCCGGTGGCGGACTTGGGCTCAGGGCTTCTTATGGCCTGCCTACCCTCGACTCCCACCCAGTACCTGTCCCCCTACTCCCCTGCAGAGTGGTCTGGCTCTCTGGTGCTGGCCCCGGGACCGGCCCACCCCACTGCTTCCTGCTTCGGAAAACACACACAACCCACTTTCCACCAATCTGTCTCCGCAATCATCTCCGCACTGAACTGGCCGAGGCTTTCCTTCTGGATTTTTCACACTGAGCAGAAAAGACTTCAGTGTGGCCAGCAGGGGGCACCGGAGGGCAGGCAGGAGGCCGCATGCACAGACAACCGCTAGTGCAGGGGCCGAGGGCAGCTTGGCAAGACCGCAGGGTGTGGTTGAAAAGCCAAGGCCCTCCCCTGGGGGAGGTGGGAGGCCAGTCCAGAAAGGCCCACACGGGGCACAGCCATAGAGGCCGCACCGTGGCGCAATCGAGTTGCAGCGGTTTAACGTTCAAACCCCCCCAGTGGCTTTGTGGAAGACAGACCTGGTAATCTGCTTCCATTAAGACTGCAGCCAACCAAACGCCATGGAGCACTTCTACTCTGCGTCACATGGGGCCGCCACAAGTCGGAGTCGACGCCACAGCAACAGATCTGGTTTGGTTTGGGCCCTCCAGTCTAGAGTCTAGGGTGGCAGACAAGGTGGCAGTGTCGGCTGGGACCTCGCGACGCCATCTCTTGATGCCTGGGCGCCAGGCCGTCAGGGGTGCTCCGTTCACAGGCTGAGAGCACGCAGGGCGAGCTGGGTGGATTTGCACCCCAGGACCTGGGCCGGCGCCCAGCAAAGATCAGGCAGTCCACGGACACTCCCTGTCCCCTTCCTCCCCTCCCCACTGAAGCTGCTCACGAATCCACAGCACAAAAACCAAACCAAGCCCCATGTAGAAAGGTATCAATAAGCGTGTGCTGTATTCGGAAGGCGGCAACCCTCTTTCCCGTCTCATTTCGTCTTTCTCTTATCAAGTGCAGCAGGGAGGAAGATCTCCCCAAGGTTGCTCCAAACGCCGTGGGAGTAAATGTTCTGGAAGACTCGGGGCTCGGCGGGTGGGGGCTGGGCCTGGTGGCGGCAGCGCCGGCAGCGGGCCCGGCCAGCTCGGAACCACTCGTTGGTGGTCTGGTTGGTGGCGGCCAGGTAGAGCTGGAAGCACAGGTAGCCTCCCAGGAGGCAGCTGAGCACCACGACAAAGCCCAGCAGGAGGACGACCCTCGGGAAAAGCAGGAACAGGTACTGCAGCGAAGAGAGCGCGACACTCAGGACTGGGCGGGGCGCGCGGGTCCGCACGCGCCAGCCCCGGTCCGCCCACGAGGACAGGCCAGCGGCCTCCTCAGTCACCCACCCGCGAGGCCGTCTGGCCCACTGAACACAGGTCAGAACCACGCACGGCTCTGACAGCCCAGGAACCAGCCCTAGGAGTTTAACCCGTGACCTGTGAAGGGCTCGCTCTTCTGAAAAGTCCCCTCCCCTCCTTTCTCTCTATCCAGTTCTACCCAAGGAAAAACAGAAAGGTTATTCAGAAAATGATGCTGTGTGACAACCACTGTCTGCGCTGTCCAGTCGATTCCGACCCACAGCGCCCCTAGAGGGCAGACTGGGACTGCCCCGTAGGGATTCCAAGGCTATCAGTCTTCACAGAAGCAAAGCCCAAACCACACGCACGGCTGTGGAGTCTATTCTGACCCACAGCGCCCCCAGAGGACAGAGTGGAACTGCCCACAGGGTCTCCAAGGCTGTCAATCTTCACAGAAGGAAAGCCCAAACCACACCCACTGCCGTGGAGTCTATTCTGACCCACAGCGCCCCTACAGGACAGACTGGGACTGCCCATAGGGACTCCAAGGCTGTCAATCTTCACAGAAGCAAAGCCCAAACCACACCCACTGCCAGGGAGTCGATTCTGACCCACAGCGCCCCTAGAGGACAGAGTGGAACTGCCCACAGATCTCCAAGGCTGTCAGTCTCTACAGACGGCCAGATCTTTTCTCCCACGGAGCCGCTGGGTGGATTCAAACTGCCAACTTTTCAGTTGGTAGCTGAGCGCTTTAACCATTGCACTACCAGGGCTTGTCCTGTGACAGTTAACAATTCACAAACTAATAAATAAATGTAGACTGTGGTTCCAAATAAAATGCAGATGGACACAGGAGATCAGTATCTTGCAGGTACAAGGATGTTCCCAGCAGCACCGATTTTCACCATCGCTCTGCCCCCCACCCCAAGAAACAAGTCCCACACCCATCCTCAGAAGAGGGAAGTGAACTCTGGGATACTCAGGCTATGGCATAAGGAGCTGTTTACACTAAGGTCAATTTTCATGTGCTGGTTAGGAAAAGATGCAAGACCAGACTGTCCACTGGAAAAGGCAAGACGCCAGTCACTGTGGGCTGATTCGTGTAAGAAAAGCACAAAACGGCCTGCGAGCAGGTGGACGGACACATGAGTCAACAGGAGGAAAGGGCCTGGGAACACCTGTGCTGCAAACTACAAAAGTGGCGACCCCTGGGGAGCAGAGTGGGGGGGGGGTTCCACTTTTCACTTTAAACACTTCTCTACTGCTTGTTGTTTTTCAGATCATGGTAAAACGTTAACAAAATTTGCCACTGTAACCATTTCTAAGTGTACAATTCAGAATCGCAGATTATATTCATTATGCTGTGTAACCATAACCACTAATTGTTCTAAAACATTTTCATCTCCCCAAACAGAAGCTCTGTGCCCACCAAACAGTCAGTCCTCAGCCCTGCCCCAGCCCCTAGTGACCGGCAATCTTTCTGTCTCTCACACCTGCCTACTGTAGCTACTCCCCATCAGTGGGATGGTCCAGCATTGGTCCTTCTGTGCCAGACTTCTTCACTTAGCATCATCATGTCTTCAAGGCACATCCACGTGGTAGCACAACTTCAGTTCTCTTTGTGGCTGAGTAATATTCCACTGCAGGGAGAGACCACGTTTTCCTTAGCCATTCACTCATCCTTTGATGGGTATCTGGTTGTTTCCACCGTTTGGTTATTGTGAACAGTGCTGTTGTGAACACTGCCGTACAAGTCTCCGAGTCCTCTGGGGTACAGACCCAGGAGAGGAACTGCTGGGTCACAGAGTAACCTGACATTTCACTCTCTCAGGAGCCACCAGACTTTTCTACAGTGGCTGCACCCACCAGCAACGGAGGAGGGCTCCAGTTTCACCACGTCTTCACCAACATGTGCTATTTTGTTTGTTTTTCTAACATGTGTTTGGGTTTTTTTAATCATAGCTGTGCTAAGAGTCAGGAGCTCTGGTAGCATAGTGCCTAAGGCATTTTGACTGCTAACCAGAAGGCTGGCAGTTCAAAGCCACCAGCCACTCCTTGGAAGGAAAATTGGGCAATCTACTTCCATAGTGATACTGCCCCGGAAACCCAAGGAGGGGTCACTATGAGTTGGATCCAACTTGACGGCAGTGAGTTTGGTTTTTGGTATGGTGTTAAGAGTTGTGAAGTCGGATCTCCTTCAGTTTTGATTTACATATTCCTAGTGACGAATTTAGGAGCTCTGGTAGCATAGTGCCTAAGGCACTTGACTGCTCACCAGAGGGCTGGCGGTTCAAATCCACCAGCCACTCCTCGGAAGGAAGGTTGGGCAATCTACTTCCATAGTGATACTGCCTCGGAAACCCAAGGAGGGGTCGCTATGAGTCTATGAGTCGGGGCCGACTCGATGGCAAACAACAACAACTGTGACTAATTTCCCTAATGATGTGCCTTTTCATGTCAGTATGGTCCATTTGTCTATCTTCTTTGTTCATGCCATAGAAAGGAATGAGGTTCTGATCCATGCTACCACGTGGGTGAGCCTTGAAAACCTGCTGCTGAGTCAAAGAGGCCAGGCCAAAGGGCACATACTGTACAGTTCCACTTACAGGAAACGTCCAGCAAAGCGAATGCACAGATAAAGTATATTCCTGGCTTCTGGGGCTGGAGGGGGGCGGAGAACAGGGAGTGAATGCTAATCGTATAGGGTTTCTTTTCAAGGTTACAGAAACGTTCCTACAGTGATTGTGGTGAGGGTTCCATGCCCAACTTTGTGAGTATACAAAATCCAGTAAAGTGTATACTTCAAAAGGATGAATTTTATAGAATATGAATTCTATCTGGTTTTTTTTTTAAAGGGATGACTTCGTGTTTTCACTGGCAGAAGAAATGTTCCTTTACCAATTCTGAAACCTGACGTCAGAAAGGTTCACCCCACAGCATAGTTACCTGAACAAGGAAGACGATGTCAACCACCTGGGAGCGTCCACGGTCATCAATGTAGGACTCCAGGTAGAGGTCCGAGAAGACTGCCACCTGGACTAGAAACGCAGCACTTATGCTGGCCACCGTGGCCGCCGAGGCCGTCAGCGTTGAGAGGTAGAAGAGGAAGTACCTGGCGTTCCAGGCCCCGATGCAGTTGTTCACCCAGATACAGTGATGGTCAAATCGGTGCACGCACCTGTTACACACCCCTGCATGGACACAGGGTAGCCCCACAGGGTTAGCCCTTGATGAGATGGCGGCCCTATGCATACCCGCAGACACCTTTCACACACTGACCACCAGCAGCAGGCACTGGGGACGTGGCAGCTGCTGCCACCAGGCTGTGAGCCCTGAGCTGTCTGGTACGGCAGCCACCAGCCACCTGTGGGTCCTGAGCACTCGACATGTAGCTACACAGAAAATCTGCGAGGACTCCTGCTGTTGATGTGAGTTTAGAGCTGATTTTTCGTGTGTGCAGCACACCTTTGAGTCCAACGTGAACAATGCTGACACCGAAAAAGAAAAACCCACTGGCGTTGAGTCGACGCCAGCTCTCAGTGAGCCCGTGTGTAACATAACCACTTCACAGGGCTTCCTCGCGGGCTTCCTCACAGGAGATTGGCAGGCCTCTGTTCTTCAGAGCCAGGCAGTGGGTGTGAACTGCCAACCTTTCAGTTAGCAGTCGAGCACAAGCCATCCGCACCACTCAGGGACCTGAGGTTCCAAAAGAGCTGGGGAATCTACCTGCCCAGTCATAGTTTGGAAACTGCTATGTTTTAGCCTCCCAGTCAGATCAGTTCTTCCAATAAAGACAAGCTTGCAGACAGAGAGAAGAATGACCGTTTGGTCCTCAAGTCAGTTATGGGGAAACTTCTAAAATGGCTTGGAATAGTTTGGGGATGTGAGTCTACCTTTTCAACTGTACACGGCATGAAATCAAAATATGGATGAAGTATTTCCAATGAAAATCTACTATTCGAATGGAGAGGAAAAGGAGCCTTGGTGGCACAGTGGTTAAAGCACTCAGCTGCGAACCAACAGGTCAACAGTTCAAACCCATCAGCCACCCCATAGGGGAAAGATGTGACCATCTGCTTCCGTAAAGACTACAGCCTTGGAAACTCTGTGGGCCGTTCTACTCTGTCCTCCAGGGACGCTGAGAGTCAGAACTGACATGACGGAGGTGGGTTTGGCTTTTCCTTCGTAAACTTAAAACATGCACCAGATTTCAGAGACTTAATACAAACTATCTCATGAGTAATCTTCATATATAGATCACATGTCAGTTGACATGTCTGGGATGTGCTCGGATCAATAAAATAGATTGTCAAAATGGAGTCCATGCGGGTCTCTGAAGTTCTGTAATGTAAATCAAAAAACAAACTCAGTCATCAAGTCGATTCCAACTCATAGCGAACCCTGTTGCAGTGTATCTTTATGGAAGTAGACTGCCTAGTCTTCCTTCCACGGAGTGGCTGGTGGGTTTGAACTGCCGACCTCCTGGTTAGGAGCGCTGCACCACCACAGTTCCTTCTTCCATAATGTGGCCACTAGAAAGTTTACAGTCCCATCTGTGGCCATGGTTACTCTTCCATCGAGCAGTGTGACCCCTGAATCCCAAGCACTGCCCAGAGGACGGGGTCATGCCAGGGCCAATCAGTAAGCACACTCCCGCAGCAACCCCTCGTGGGCAGCCTGCCCCAGCACATGGAAAAAGCAGGGCTGTTATGTCCAGGCCTGAGGGTCAACCAACTGTAACCACTGGCATCGAGTTGATTCCAACTCACAACACCCCTACAGGGCAGAGAAGAACTGCCTCATAGGGTTTCCAAGGCTGTCAGTCTTTACGGAAGCAAAGCCCAAAGCAAACCCTGCCAGCCAGTCAATTCCAACTCATATCAGCCCTAGAGGGCAGAGGGGAAGTGTCCCTTAGGTCTCCAAGGCTGTAATATTCATGGAAGCAAAGCCCAAACCACACCCATTGCCATGGAGTGGATTCTGACTGACATGCCCCTAGAGGACAGAGAAGTGCCCCTTAGGTCTCCAAGGCTGTAATGTTCATGGAAGCAAAGCCCAAACCACACCCACTGCCATCGAGTGGATTCTGACTGACACGCCCCTAGAGGGCAGAGTGGAACTGCCCTGTAGAGTTTCCAAGGCTAAAGTCTTTATGGAAGCTTACTGCCTCAGCTTTCTCCCTCAAAGTGGCTGGTGGGTTCAAACTGCTGACCTTTTGGTTAGCGGCCGAGCATTTACTACTGCGCCATCTGGGCTCCTTCCGCCAGCTGTGGCAAAACATAGACTTCACCCCCAGTCACCTGAGAGAAACCACTGTCTGGGCCCCCACGTGGTGGCCACCCTTGTCTGGCAGACAAATGGCTCTGCTCCTCTGTTTCTGGAACACTGCTTCTCAGACCCCGTGCATGTGGTCCTTCGGGGAAGGGGTGGCTGGGGCAGGGTTAGGGTTAGGGCTAGGTGCTCTTACTGCAGTGCTTGGACCGAGCCGGCTTCCGTAAATCACAAGTGGGACACCTCGCGCCCTTCGGGAACATCACTTCGTCGAACTCGTACACTCGGAGAAACGACAACTCGTGTGCTTTGGTTATGGTTCCTGAAACAGACAGGACAAGTGTCAATGCCTAGCAGTACCCTGGGCTGGGTGCCCCTGGCAGTGCTGCAGACTGAGTGCTCCCAGCAGTGCTATGGACTGGGTGCTCCCAGAACCTGTCCCCACAAGCACAGCCAACACAGTGATGTCACATTCTAAAGAATTCATTTCTGTTAACAGCTTCATGGTGATGTAATCCTATCAGTCCCACCACTGAAAGGGTGTAATTTGTGGGCTTTTCATATATTCAGGTTGTGCAGCCCTTACCATGATCTGTCTGGGAGCATTTCATCACCCTGAAAAGAAGCCCCAACCTTTAGCAGTCACTCCCTAGTTCCCCCTCTTCTCAGCCCTCCACAGCCACTACTTTCTGTCTCTATGGATCCACCTGTTCCAGGCATTTCATGTAAGTGGGATCGTATAACATGTGTCCTTTCATGTGTGACTTCTTTCACTCAGCACCATGTTTTCAAGGTTCACCTGTGTCACAGCGTGGATCTGGCCTTCTTTTCTCTTTAGGGCTGAGTGACACTCTTTGCAGGGATGGACCACATTTTACTTGTCTGTTCATTGGCTGATGGACACTTGGGTGGTTCCTAAGAGCAGTATTACTGATAGTACTCTACAGACCCTGCTCCATCTATAACCCAAACCCACTGCCATCCAGTCAATTCCGACCCACAGCGCCCCTAGAGGACAGAGTGGAACTGCCCACAGGGTCTCCAAGGCTGTCAATCTTCACAGAAGCAAAGCCCAAACCACACCCACT